ACTTGCTGACTGTAACTTAAAATTGTCAAGAAAGGATGTTGAGAGCCTGGAGAGCTGACTCGCCAGTTAAAGGCACTCGATGCTCTTTCTGACGACGTGGGTTCAATTCCTAGCACCACACGATGGCTCACAATAGTCTGTTACTCCAATTTCAGGTGATCCAAAGTCCTCTTCTTGTCTCTATGGGTAATGCATGCATGCAGTGCACATAAACTCAAACACACTCACACACACACACAAACCACTTTAGAGTTTTGCAAAGCTGACATTAACACACCTGTAAAGTAGAATATAAAAGCTACCAGTCCTATTTCTGGATGTTTACATCTTGGTTTCAGAGCAGAATGACACCCAAACAAAAATACCCATGATGGCATTATGTAATAGCAAAAATTTAACATTACTTCTAGTAAATGGACCACGGCCTGTTCACTATCTATGAAGGAGTGCTGGATATCAACAAGAATTGCTTTTAAAAAAAGCTTTCCTCTTACGGTTATGTGTATGAGTGTTTGCCCCCTGTGTACCACTTACATGTATATAGAAGTCAGAAGAGGGCGTCAGATCCCATAGGACAAGTTGTGAATTGCCATGCGGGTGCTGGGAACTGAACCCAGGTCCTCTGCAAGGGTGGCCAGTGTTCTTAACTACAAAGTCATCTCTCCAGTCTTATATGAGTGTGAATTAACCCTGAAACATGGTAGAAATAATCTGAGAGGGACACAAGGGTTGTTTTATTTAATTCAAAAGTAAGTAAGACTAAATTATACATATGGAAAAAAATCTACTTGAAAAGCAAGAAAACAGAATTCCTGCTTCTGGTTGTGGAGAGTAGGGCTGCGATGGGGAGGCAGGCTCACGTGGGTCCAGGGGTGTGGGTAATACTCCAGCTGTGGCGTTAGATACAATGTTCAGAGCAGCTTATTTGATTAAAACAGAGTCTATGCATTAAAACAGAGTCTATGCATTAAAACAGATTCTATGCAGTAAAACAGAATCTATGCATTAAAACAGAATCCATGCAGTAAAACAGAGTCTATGCATGCTTTCCATATGTTATTTCACATGCATAAACAAAAGCAATGTCACAAAAGATACCTATGTAGCAAGTATAGAGTATTGAATCTGGTATGTCCAGAAAGAGATGTTTAATTGGCCAGCACTTCAGTGTAGAAATTTCTCTCCACAAGTATCTTCATACAACTAGGGACCAAATTTATTGAAAGATGTGGGTGTTCATGAGTATGTCTAACATGTATAGTGGAAACAACAATTTCTTTAAAGCCTTAATGGAACAATAAGTGTCCCTGAGCTCATTGTCCCTCTGAACAAGAAATGACAGAGGGTTCCTGAAACAGGGAGCTGAAAGGCTTATGGTTAGAATGGCCTGTCTCAGGTTAGAGGCTTAGTTCTCCCAAAGGCCACCACTAGGGGAAAAGAAGGCTTGAAAGGTAGGTATGCTTGCTACATACCTCAAGAGCTAGCCCACAGTCTGGGCATTTGAAAGCAGCTGTCCTCTGGGAAGAGCTTCAGCTAGCTCAGGAACTGATCGACTGAAAATATCCAAACGGCCAATACACCCTCCACACACACACTCCTCCATGGTGAAGGGAGGAAATGCCATCAGAGAGTTCATTGCCCGAGGCCTACCTGGGGTTACTCTACACACAGAAAAATGGCCCCTCAACCTGTTTCCCAGACTCCTCTATAGGAACTCACAGTGTTTATAACATAAAACCACCATTGCTTTCGAGGTGGAGATGCGTGGAACATTTTACAACAAGAAGAAAAACAGCTGTTTAGTCATCTTCCAAGGGGACACACGGTGAGTTCTCCTGAGACGCTTTCTAGCGGCCCCTGGGAACAATTACTGGTTTTGTTGTGAATCTTGTACTTCCTTAAGTGGCAGCTATAACATAAAAATGGCATTTGGCCAATACTGAGGGAAAATGTCTTTAGAAATAGAGCTAAGCTAGAGCCTCTGCTACACGGCCAGAAAGGGGCATCTGAGTCAAAGGGAGAAGTTTGGTCCCATTCTGGATACCAACTGAACATGGCTTAGGTATGAGAAATGATACAAATAGGAAGCTCTCCTATTGCTATTTATGGTATGTGCTTGTCAGTAAGGATGACAGAAAGATGGTGGAGCAAAGGCTAAGAAGAACGGACTCTATTCACCAGCAACACCGAGCCAGGGCTGGGCCTGGGGCTTCAATCCCTGGGGCTTCAATCCCTGGGGCTTCAGGGTCTTTCTTCCCTGTTTTTGTGTTTTGTTTTCATAGGATTTCCAGCATGTATCCTAGGCTGATCCGGAACTTTCTATGTAGACCATGCTGACCCCAACCTTGTGGCAACCCATCTGCCCCTGCCTCCTAAATGCTGGGATTACATGTTTGCGCCATCGTGCCCAGCTCCTAAGTTTTCAAACTTATAGAAAATAAGGGTCATGCTAGATAAAGGAGAGAAGAGGCCTGGTCAAAGCACTCATGTGAGGGGTCAATCCTGGGCTCACTTGAAATCAAAACAAAAGGGAGATGTTGGGTTAATTCAACAGTCCCCAATTAGAAGATAATTAGTCACGCCGGGCATTGGTGGCACACGCCTTTAATCCCAGCACTCGGGAGGCAGAGGCAGGCTGATCTCTGTGAGTTCAAGGCCAGCCTGGTATACAAAGCGAGTTCCAGGACAGTCTCCAAAACAATACAGAGAAACCCTGTCTCGAAAAACAAAAACAAAAACAAAAACAAAAACAAAAACAAAAAAGATAATTAGTCACAAATACGGGACTCAGCTCCCATTCCACGTGATGGCAACTAACACTTAACAGCCCCAAACAGCCCTCCATTTAAATGCAGCATCTGATGAGTCTCACTTGGATAAACTGTTGATAAATCCTGTTATTTCCATTCCACATATAATGGTCCTGATGCTTCATGGCATGGCTAGTGCATGACAAAGCAGGAGATTCTGGCCATGCTGGCAGTGCGGGCTCCAAGCTGCTTTCTCAGCCCCTATGCCCTGGCGTCACTTCTAAGGCAGCACACTTGGATGAAGGTGTTGTAGACCAGTCAGATCCCACCTCCTGTGGGCTTGATTGTGTTTCTGCTGGAATCTGGCTTCCTGGACCAAGCTGCCTTCCCTAAAATTCTAAAATTCCACATGCGTTCCTATAAGAGCCATGCTTCAGTTTGCAGAGAAGACAATTAAGTACTTGGTAAATCTAACCATGCTGTGGGAAATGTTTTTTTAAAATATTTGTTTATTATATATACAGTGTTCTGTTTGCATGTATTCCCGCAGGGGCCTCAGATCTCATTACAGATGGTTGTGAGCTATCATGTGGTTGCTGGGAATTGAACTCAGGACCTCTGGAAGACCAGCCAGTGCTCTTAACCATTGAGCCATTTCTCCAGCCATGTGGGAAATGTTTAAAGATGTTTCTGTGAGGATGAACAACTAGATAGGTGAAAAAAGAAAACATAGAAAAATACAAGAAGAACAGACAAAGAGCTGTTGGTTTTGTCCTTTTACACAGCCTGAAGTAAATATTTAGGATGTTGATGTGAGCGAGGGATTTTCAGTATGAGAATAAACTTACCATGGCATTTGGTTCTAGGCGTGTGGCACAAGATGAAACCCTGGGCCATGTCCTTAGTTAGGCTTCGGCTACTGTGATAAACACCATCTGGGGAAGAAGGGATCTCATCTTCCCGCTCACAGACTGCGAGGGAAGCCAGGGCAGAAACTCAAAGCAGAACTGAAGCAAGGACCACAGAGGAACTCTGCCTCCTGGCTTTCTCTGCATGGCTTGCTCAGCCTGCCCTGGAGTTAGCGCTGCTCACAGCGGGCTGGACCCTCCTCTACCAATCACTAATCAAGGACACGCTGACAACAGCAAAGGAATGAATGACTCCCCGGCCAGCACAGCCAAGAAGCAGATTCTGCATCTCAGAAAGAGCTTTGCCTCCTGGGAGCTTTTATCATCTCACACTGATGATCTATTCACTGGACAAGCATCCTTTGAAGAGCAGCTCTTGTCTGGGATGCTCCAAACACTCCAGGTGTGATAGGTAATAATCTGTTCACTCTGCACATAGAGACGCAGTGTCAGGCACGGGCCAACATGCCTTTCTTTCAACATTGCAAGTTCTTCAGCTCATGTGGGCTCTGCTACAGTCGCTCACTACTGAGGTGGCGCAAGAGTGGCCAGAGATGCTGCAGGAAGGAATGGGCATGGCTATGCGCGATGGCGGTTTACCCAAAGCTAACAGGGGGCAGGCTAATGGCCATGGCTATGCATGATGGCGGTTTACCCAAAGCTAACAGGGGGCAGGCTAAGGCTGGCCTAGAAGAGAAAGAAAACAAAAGTGGAGCTTTGTCTGTGTACTTACCAGTGCAAAGGCCCCGAGGCAAGAGACTTAAAGAAAGCTGCGTGGTGACTGGTGCCTGCAATCTTGGTGCTCAGGGCAGTGCGGGAGAGGTGCTGAGGCAGGAGAATTCCAAGGAGTTCAAAGCCAGCCTGCGTTACAATGAAATTCTGTCTGAAAACACCTAAGAGCTTAACAGGATTGATGCTCAGGGAGAGAGGAGTGTCAGGAAAAGGAAGGACTGGCCAGTAGTTTCAAATCTTGCCAGAGACAGCTATGGCATTCGCCCCAACTATCTATGGATCAGCACTCGGGTTATCTTAAGGATGTGACGTGATTGGCTTTGTATTTGAAAGTGTTCTTTCGCAGTATGTTAGGTGAATTAGGTCCCCTACTGCATTATAACACACTAGGACAGATAGACTTGCATATCAGATAATGAGTTACACAGGAGCCTAGCAATGCTTTATAGTAAGCAAATGATACAGGGTCGAGAGTGACATCTTATAGGAAGCAGCCTGACAGAAGGCTATCTGGGCTTTACCTTTCCTCTTTGAACAAAGACAGTGTAAAGCCAGAGGAGGTGTTTTGTTTATGTTTCTAGGCTTCTCTCACCAGGGTTACTACTCCTCAGGGTGTGCCAAGGGCTCTGGGTTCCTCCCCACACTCTGCTCCGCTGATGCCCACAGTCACGCTTGGATCCAGACTCGGGACCATCTGCCAGATTTGACAACTCTCAAGAATGAGATGGATTCGCCCGAGAAACTGGATAAGAACAGCTTAGTGGGTAGGTTCCTTCCTCCTCTCTGAAGGCCTCTCTCACACACACATTAGTCAGAGCAGGCGAGGAGCACTGGAGAGGTGGGACGTGATCCCAGGCAGACACACTGAATTTGACTGCAGCTGGGCATGCCTGAAATCCCAACACTCTGGAGGCCGAGGCAGGAGAATTGCTATGAGTTCAAGGCTGGCCCGGGCTATATTGCAATACCCTGTCTCACAGAGGGGTGGGGCCGTCAAGTCCTCTTAGAACCCCTTGTTCAGCGTTTGCTGTTTACTTTGGCTTCGGGTGGCCTTTGAATGGTGGTCTGTGGCTTGCTCTCCCTCATTCCCTTTGTGATCAAACAGCATTTATTTGTCTTTGCATTTTTTTTCTTCACCTGGCATAGCAAAGATAGGATGGAGGCTGATGTCCCTCCACATCCAAATGTGTCTGACGATACCATGATTAAGAAAAGAGTTGGCTCAAGCTGCACAATTTCAGATGAATGGGAAGAAGTTGAGAGAGTAAGACTTAGCCCCTGAGTACCAAGTACTGTGCTTAGTACTAATGCCTGGGATGAACTGGGGGGCATTTGGTCCTTGTTTCCCTCTCAGACATGGCAGTCTCTGCTATAATTTTACTAGTGAAGAACTGGGTCCTGGAGAGTTTAAACTGGTTAAAAGGTGAGGGTGGTGATGTGGGGTTGGGGAATGTGTCTGGCATGGGATTTAAACTATGCTCTGTAACCTGCAGTTGCCAAAACCCGACTTCAAGGTGAACGTTAAGAAAGCTTTTAGCATTACTATCTCAGAAAAGAAAAATAGACATTTAGCAAATTGGAAAACAGTCTTTGTTGTTTGAGACAGGGTTTTGGAGGCTGTCCTGGAACTCGCTCTGTAGACCAGGCTGGTCTTGAACTCACAGAGATCCGCCTGCCTCTGCCTACTGAGTGCTGGGATTAAAGGCATGCACCACCGCCACCTGGCTTAACAGTCTTTTTTTTTTTTCTCTTGACATAGCAGTGCTGATAGCCTGAAGCAGTAAACATCATCTGAAAATTCCAGAATAGTTCTTCTCATGTCTCTCAGGTTGTTGTTCTCGAACTTGCCTGGCAGCTGAGGGTGCCAATGAACTTCCCGTCTTTGCCTCCTAAGTATCAGGATTTCAGGAATGCAACCACTGTGTTCTTTTCTTTATTTTGTTTAAGAGACAAGGGCTCATATTGTCAATAAAAAAAACAACTCCCATTTCAAAAAGAATAAGAGATAGTTTATTTCTGAGCCAACTATGAGTGGCAGTGGTCTGGGCCTGTGGAATGGAGCTGTCCCAGGTAGCATGTTCCATGGTGGAGGTGATTTTACAGAGTTTTTATAGGTAGGCAGGCAGGCCGCCGCATAGAGGAGCTGGGACCTGCCAGTCTCTCAAGGGGACTCCTTCCAAAAGGACTGACTGATGTTCACACTGATGTTGGGACAGACACAGGGGTGAGCTCTGAATGAGTGTTAGCAGAGATGAAGAGAGCCTGTGTGAATTTTACTTCCGCACTTACAAATTCTGGACTCAGAAACTCTCCACAATTAAGAAACTCCAATCGATCGATCAGCCTTATGTGGTTTTCTGGGTGTAGGAGGTGGGGACTTCACACTGTATAGCTCAAGTTGGCCATCCTCCTGCTTCAACCTCTGTAGTGTTTATATTGCAGGTGTGTGTCATGCTGAACCCCGCTTTTTAAAATTATTTTTTTATTTAGGTTAGAAACAATCTTGTTTCACATGTCAATCCCAGCTCCATCTCCCTCCCCTCCTCCCCCGCCCTCCCCACCAGGTCCCCCAGTCTCCCACCCAATCTCCACTCTGATCCCCAGAAATAAGGTATATAGTGCATAGTCCTCCCAGCAATGCAGAGATGTGCACTCACTCACAAATGATGAGGGAATTGAAGAGCTGAGTCTTGCCATCACTCCAGCTGGAGCCTCCAACTTTTGAGAGCTATGGGTGTGGCTGTACAACTCCAAGTTTGTGAATCACAAGGGAAGGTTAAATTCCCCTGGTGATGGGATGACAGTCACAAGTGACAATGTTGCAAATAAGAGCCCTCCACACCCAGAAACCCCATGACCAAGCCTGGTTAGCACACCACTATTTACAAACTGTTGACATTCTGCCCGGACACCCACCCTCTCACTAAAGGGTCAAAGTTACCCGGGATCAGCCTTAGGGGATCTTCTCAATATTGACGTCGGCATCTTCTTGGGGTCCTTTGTAAGAAGTGTAAGCTCCTGTGCATCACCACCTATGTCCTTGAAATCCTGGTACTTCAGGTATGTCTGGGCTTGAGAAGTGGCATCCAAACCAGTCCCCAGAGGTGGAGATGTCACCATGCTGAAACCAGGTTTAGTGTCTGTGCTCCCTTTGGCAAATTCATAGTTTGCTTAAAATTGTTCTTCAGTGAAAGCTATTTGTCTGTGTTAGTAAAACAGACAGGTCAGAAAGATGAGTTGTAGCTGCTGAAACAGCGTTTGTCCTTAGGGTTTAATGCTGGGTTTTCTATTTGATGCTGAAGTCTGTGAGTCGCTACAGAGAGATCCCAGAAGCTGCTGGGGCACTGTTCTACCCACTGTATCTTAACAGATAGGAGGTGAAGGAGAGAGGGAGTAATGGAGAGAGGGCAGGAAGGAGAACATTTAGACAGAGTTTTTTATTTAAAAATTTCTTTATAAAAGCATACATATGTGTCAAATCAAGAAAGCAGAATCAGGAGCTGGAGAGATGGGTCAGCTGTTAAGAACACTTACTGCTCCTGCAGAGAACCTCAGTTCAGTTCCCAACACAAGCATCTGAAACACCAGTTCCAGGGTGTCTGATGCCCGCTCTGCCCTCCTCAAGCCCTGTGTGTACACGATTCATGTATATACATGAAGGCAAACATTCACACAAAGAAGTAACAAAATCTTTTCATTAAAAACATCAAAACATTAAAAAATCCAGAACCACTATGTTTCCACTACTCAGAAACATTTCCTTTCATTTTCTTCCAGAATTCTTTTATGCTTGGGAGCCCACTGGCTGACGGTTTCATGCCATACCATTTATTTTTCTGTTACTATCATCCTATAATGATTCTCAGGTACCTTTATAAACTGTAAAAGCATATGCATGTGGGCTGGGTAAGCAACTCGATTTGTAGAGCACTTGCCTAGCATGCACACTAAGCTGGGTTCAGCCCTCAGCATCTTCAAGGGTATACCCCACTAAAGCCAGCACTGGGGAGGTGGAGGAAGGAGGATCAGAAGCTCAAAGTCACCTTCAGTTACATATAAGTTTGAAGCCAGCCTGGGACACACGAGACCCTGTCCATGATTAATTAATAAGACTATGCAAAAATGCAATATTGTGTCTCGGCCAGAGTGTCTGTTATCTGTTTGGTATACATGAAACTGTTGTGAGGTCATCAGAAGATAAATATTAAGGGCAAAATGCCTGTGCTTGTTGGCAGTGCTGTCATTCCAGAGAGAGAGAGAGAGGCCTGGAAGCCTGGGGAGTGTGGGGACAGAGGAGGCTGATGCAAGGACATATCCTGTCTTTATTTTCTCATAATGATGTGGGGGTGAGATACAGGAAGGCAGAGACATGAAGGGGAAAATGCAATGGCTTATGGTCCTTGGGTTAATTAAGTCTCGTGAGAGACAGCCTTTTCTGATGCATCATTATTTCTGACAAGAGCTTGCAGATAGACCCATAAATCTAACCTGTGGCGCAGCAGCATTCTGAGACTTCAGAGTGGGTTAGAGTGGACCGTCCACTCACCCATTGGTTCCTGCTGTGAGGCAGGAGGGAGCCAGGAAGAGAACCCTGCTTCAAAGCACTAAACATCTTCAGGGAAGACACAGGATGCAGCTACAACTCACAATGGAACCTAGGGGACCCAAGGGTGGCAGCGGTGGGGGTTACAGGAACAAACAGAGTAGGGAAAGCGAGGTAGGAGAATTACGGGGGATGCAAGTGTGAGTCAGAGACACAGATCTGTGCAAAGGGGCAGACCCATGGAGGGCTTTCCCTGGACCCGTGTCTGGGTCGCTAAATCATCAACAACGGCTCAGCTACTGAAACCTAAACTCTCGGTGTTCAGGAGCTGGGGTGGCAAGTCTGGCTTGGGGGCTGGGGCTGCATTGGGTCTTTTTTCCATGAACTGTGGAGCCAGACCTCTTGAGGGAGGGGTGCGTGAGGAGGGGCACTCTGATTCAGTAGGTCCATTTGCTGTTATTGTTGAGATGGGTGTTGCTACGTAGCCTAGGATGGACTTCAACTCACTGTCCTGGCGAAGCTGCACACATGCTGGGATTATCAGCATGAACATGTACAATTCTAAAATGGACGGTTATAAACAATGTCTCCTCCTCCTCCTTTCTCTTCCTCCTCCTCCATCTCTATCTCTCACTGTGTCTCTGTGTCTGTCTCTTTCTCCCTCTCTTTAATTTTCTAAAATTAGAGGCTGGGAAGGTTGCTCAGTAGGTAAAATGCTTGTTGTGCAATCGTGAGGGCATGAGTTTGGAAGTCCAGAACCCACGTAAGATTGATGATAATACTGTATGTGTCTATTATCCTAACCCCGTGCTGGGGGGGGGGGAGGCAGGAAGATCCCTGGGGAGCAGAGATGCTGGCCAGTCAGTGTTACCTAAATGGCTAGCTCTGGACTGAATGAGAGACCCTGTCTCAACAAACAAGGAGAGGGTAGTGGAGAAAGGCACCAAACATCAACCTCTGTTCTGCACACATGCATTTATGGGCACATGCATTTGCACACACATGTATGCCTACACACTCACACACACATTTATATGAACACAGACACACACACACACACAGAGACACACAGACACACAGACACGTACACACACACACACACACACACACACACACACACACACACCCTGGACAATTGTGAGGGCTTCAGCACCTGACCCGTGTTGCTCATAATTCCTGTGCATACACTGTTTCGGTGACTCCTCCCGACTAGCTGTTGTGATCATGCAGCAGAGGAGGCTGCTTCAGTGGGAGCAAGTCAAGTGATTGCCTTGGTGTCTGGCTTTCAGTTACAGCTGTCTTGATTAGAACATGTAGCCACCTGACCTAAGGTCTGGCTCTTCAGCTCTGTTCACGACCTCTCTGCCCATGGGCTGGTTCTGCTAACGGCTTTTTATGCTTTCCTTTCTGAGTCAGTAGGGCAAGCCTTGAATTTTCCATTTCAGAGCTAGTTGGGTCTTAGATCTCTATTTGGATTTCCAGGCTTTATGCAACTTTAAAAGATTAAAACAAGGTATAAAACAACAATGGGCATACGGCTTAAGTGTTTAGCTCAGGAGGGACAATGGGCAGACTATATAAAATCAGAATCCTGTGAACTCAGAGGTGAGCAGCAGTATGCACCACAGGAAGCTGCCTACTCTAAGACCTGTAGGAGACCAGATTCTCACCCCTAGTGACACCTGGGAATTGTCCTGTAAAGACAGACATAAACTGATGATGACTATTTTCCTTCTCTGTGTAAATGTGGAACTGAGGAGGAGGTAGTTATGGGAGCTTAAGTCTTAAACTTTGATTTTTTTTCAGTGAGAATACAAGTACAGGCTGAGTTAATACTAAAAATCACTAGCAAATAGGATGTAGCAATGATTCTGTGAGCACACAAACACCCAGTGTCTTCTATTTTATTTAAAACTGATTATATTTGTATGTGCATGTGTGCACTCACATGCTGCAGCACAGACATGGAGATCAGAGGACAACTTGCAAGAGTTGATTCTTTTTTCCTACCATGTGTGTTCCAAGGATCAGACTCAAGTCTCCGTGCTTGGTGGCAAGCATCCTATCCCCCGAGCCGTCTCCCCAGTGCCAGAGTCTCTTTTCACCCTGCACAGGTACATAGATAGGTTCACCTCAGAGCAGTTCCATGACATCAGAGGCTGATGCTTCAGGAATTTCAGCTTTCGAGTAGGCAGGCAAGCCATTGTTGTTCATAGTGCAATTTTCATGTATATTTAGACAGAACACTTAGAAAAGTTTTAATGCTAAATATATTTCACCTAGCAAGGTATAACAGTTGCCAAGCCTGAAACAATTTCATAAGCTCAGACCATGCAGAAGGAGGAACACACACTGTCAGAGAGGAGGGGGTATGCTCAAAATCCTTAAAGGGCATTGACTATTGAGTAAGATTGTAAATCTCTTTACCCTAACACATATATGACCAGGGATTTATTCTATACACATGCACAAAAAGAGTTGCTTAGAAACTTTCATCACATCACTGTTCATAAAAGGAAACACCCAGAACTCTCTTAAGTAAATAAATAACTATATATACATATAATTTAAATAATATATATAGTAAATATATAAACACATATTTGTAAGCAAATATGTATGTATGTGTGTATGTTTCCAATGTATCGGTGGAAGTTCCAAAGTGACTTTAGTGGATGGATAAGGAGGAGGCAACGGTGAGACCTGAGTCTCTATCTAACCTGGGCAGGGGAGTGGCTGGGATCGCCAGGGTGCTGTATCCAGCAAAGACACTAGTTCCAATGCATGAATGGAAAATGTGACTCAACCGAAAGGGATTGGGAGATGAGAATGGGGGCGGCTGCCAAGGAAAAGAGAATACACGGAGGACCACAGAGGAGGTGAGAGGATGACCATAAGGAGTTCTAGCATGAAAAGGTTGGCCAGACAGCCCACTTCACGAACAAGAGATTACGATTGATGTGACTCAAGCTCCAAAGTGTTAAGTTGTTGAAGGAGGACTTAAAATAAATTTCCTCTTATTACAAAGCAGTTTGAGAAGTCCATGGATTTTTCTATCCTTTTTGTAAAGTGGGAATAATAAGAGACACACATACACATACAAATGGACACACACACACACATACAGATACACAGACATACATACACACACAAACAGATACACATATACGCAGAGAGACTCACAGGCAAACACACAGACACAGGTACACACACACACACACACACACACACACTTTAGTGCATGGATTAGGAGCTATGTAAAAATGGCATCATGTAGTCTTCATCAGATCTTCCAAGGTGGGAAACTTCTGTCTCCCTCTTACTGATGAAGAGGAGAGACTCAGAGAGTCTCTTCTGGAATGGATTCTATAAAGCTCTGGAGTCGGCACATGAGAGACCTTGCATAGAAACCCACACCAGGGGTTCTAAGATATTTTCCCATAAGCGTGTAATTCTCCTTTCTAGGGATAATAGCACCTCCCTACGTATCTCAGGGCTTATTTTGAATGTCATATGGAGACTTCAAGGGACCCAAGAATCTGACAACCCTGGTATGAGTGGTTCAGGGTCACATTCCAAGACATCTTTTCATGTTTGGAAAGCGATAAAACATGCTGGCCTTACAAAACAATGATGACTATCACTGTTGATTGTTGAGCGACTTCTAGGAAGGGGCAGATTGATTTTAATTTCTAAGCACTCCTGCCCCCGAACAAAACATTTTGAATCTCTATACTCACACCCGTATGCGCATGTGTGCATGCGTGCGCCTGCGCAGAGCTGTTTGTAACTAAACTCACAGTGTCATTGGAGTTAGGTTTGCTCCTCTGTCCTGTCTTGGGCAGTGTCGGGGAATACTCTCTCCTCACATACACTGCCTGATAGCTTTGTTAAGAGTCACTTAGATGACAAGCTTGCTTTTCTCACTTCCCAGGCATCAACAAAAACCGGCTTGGTGTGTGTGGCTGGATTCTGTTTTCCCTTTCCTTGCTGTTGATGCTCATAACCTTCCCCATCTCCATATGGATATGCTTGAAGGTAATGCCCCGGGAAACAAATGGGTATCTCCCTGTGAATCGACAGACACAGAGACTAAAGGTTCTCCTTTAATCTCTCAGATCATTAAGGAGTATGAACGTGCTGTTGTCTTCCGACTGGGACGCATCCAAGCTGATAAAGTCAAGGGACCAGGTATGGAGACGGTGGACATCTGTTACCACCACCCGTGGGAACTAGTTAGCATCCAAGAAAAGCACCCAGAAAGCCGGAGACCTTGTGGTGTTAGGCACTAACATTGCATATGTTAGTGAGAGAGACCACCAGTTTGAGTATTATGAAATCTGAGCCTACTTCATAACTCACCCCCTGAGTCATCCAGTGAATGGGTAACACTGACTGCATGTCATTTATGTCCAGGGTTGTGAAGAGCCAAGTCCAGAGAATGAAGGAAGAAAGCAAATGGCCCATGTAGACCATTAAATTACTCAAGGGACTATCCGAGGAGCTGGATTTTATTATGCTTGGAACAGGCTAACAGACAACACACACACACACACACACACACACACACACACACACACACACACACATACATACATACATACATACATACATACATACATACATACACACACACACACACACATATACATACATACATACATATTCCTCATGTAGTGAGCCGATGGATAATGTAAGGAGTCCCTCAGTGGAGTTTTCTAGTTTTGAAAATGAAGACCTTGATACCAACATAGATTTAATGATTTCTCAGTGAGTGTCCCAGTGGCTCATGGTAAAAAAGAGATTCCAGGCATCTAACACCAGGTGCATCATTTTTTTCCCATGCTGTCTACAACTCTGGGAAGTAAAACCAGTTACAAACTATCCAAACTATAAAATGACTTTTGGGTTGGGGGAGTGGATGGGAGGTGTTGAATAGTAAAATGCCCTAGACCTGAGGTCTTTAGTCACAGCTTCTCTTAAACCATAAATTTCTTGTATTTGTTTTGATTTATAACAATGACAATTTCATATGGCTGACTCCAATATTATGGATAGGAAGGGCTTTCACAAAACAGTGGCCATTTATTGTATTTCTCTTATAAGCTTTGCTTTCTGTCCCCTTCCTACACTTCGAGTAGAGTAAAATTGTTAAATCTCTAGTCATGCTGAAAGGTCAGGGGTTGGGGAGCAGGAGCCTTTCATTCCTGGTGAGACTCTACCTGACCATGAATCAGCCACACTGCCTGTTATTATATGTTCCATTGGAAAAAAACTGTGAGACACTTCCAAGGATACTTTTGCGAATGAGCCTTGACCATTCAGATGGTATAATTTTTGTCTAATTTCATAACCAACCTAAGAGAAAGGGCAAGAATCACTTCTTACAGATGCTTTTATCCATTTGTCAAGACATTGCTGTTAGACCATCTACCAATCAAGAGTCACCAAGCTCCTCTCTTTTGTCACGCTCCCGTCTGATGGGCCCAAGACTGTGTTACAATAGAACTAGAGCAGGGAGAGATGCAGAACAGCCACGCCAGGAGAACTCTGGAGGAGAATGTGTCCTTCTTAAGTGAATTCTCCCAAAAGGTTTCTCTGCTAAGAGTCCCAGGGTAATAACCCCCGTCACGCATGTCTCTGGGGCTAACGGTTTACCTCAGAACATCATGAGGACCGGAGGGAAACAAGCCAAATTGCTAAGGCTTTTGCAAATGCGAAATTGTGCTTCAGTAATAAAAGTATTGACGAGAAGACAGCCCTATCCGGCACTTCTTGGATGCCTGGCATCATTCTTAATACTTTGTTTGTTGTCATGGTGACCTGTGTTTCATCTTCACTACATTTTATAAGTTGGTGGTAATGGAAGCTCAGGAAAGATGGGTGAATGGTCCCAGACATGGGGTTGGCTGACACGGAACTCAAGGTAGTTCTCAGGAATTTGAGATTAACCAGAGACCCCCCCCCATCCATACACACACACACACAAAGAGAAAGAGAGAGACAGAGACACAGAGACAGGGAGAGAGACAGATAGGAGAGAGAGGAGAGAGAGAGAGAGAGAGAGAGAGAGAGAGAGAGAGAGAGAGAGAGAGAGAGAGAGAGAGAGAAAGAGAGAGGAAGTAGGGTGGGGATTCTTACCACAGGAGTCACTGGTTGCTCACTCAGACTAAAAGCTGGTTTCTGCCTTAAAAAGGAGCACAGTGACATAAAGATTTTCTGATTGGTGGAAATGGCTCCATGTCCTCATTTTGCTGTCATGCCTGGTGACTGGGATGCTCAAAAAGAACAGAAGCCTCTGGGGTAAAGCTGAGGACCCACAGCGTTCTCAGACGGGCTTTCTACTTTCCCTTTCCCTGGCCTGCTCCAAGCCCAGCACTTGCTACTCAGAAACAGCCGTCTTGTGCCTGGGGGACGCCATTGCTCTAGAACACAGCTAAGGAGACCGTCAGTTCCCAGTTCTGCAGTGCACTGTTTGCAGAGAACCTGAGCCCCAGGAGGACTGCAAGCCAAGTGCCAAGCAATAATACATATATATTATATTATATATTGCACACATGTATATATATGAATATTCATACATACATACATGCATGCATACATATGTTTTTGAGACAAACTCTACTTCATCCAAGCTGGCTTTGGATTCCTTATGTAGCTCAGGCAGGACTTGAACTTGTAATTCACCTACCTCAGCTTCCTTCCTGAGTATCTGAGACTGGGTGGGAGATTTTAATGCAGTATTCCTTCGGCACGGTTAATGACGCGGATGCCAGTAGCTAATAATCGCAGTCAAACGTGACTCTTTCTAGTTAGGAAACCAATTTACTATGTACCATTTTTTTAAATGAATCTCAAAATAAATGCTTAAAGAGAAGTAGATTACTTATGAACAAAATTGTGAAAACGTGTGTCAGGGCCCTTTTAGCGTTTTGCCAATGGTCCTTGATTCCTAAGTAGTTAATTTCCTTTAATTACTGAAAGAGCAGAAGCAGTCACCTTCCCCAAAGTTGAATGTGTTCTTACTGAAGATCCAAGAAATGCACACAGCACTACAAAAACAATGCTCAACATATCTAGAAGACCGTCTTTGTCATGGTTTTGAACAGGTCAAATTTTAAATCAATTTCCTTTTTTCAAAGGCTTGATCCTGGTCCTGCCCTGCATTGACGTTTTTGTCAAAGTTGATCTCCGAACAGTTACTTGCAACATTCCTCCACAAGAGGTACAAGATTAAACAAGTGTTACCAAAGATGAAACCCCCAGGTTCCCTATGACCTGGCATAATTTTAACCTACCAGGGAGAGGGTGACTTAATCCCCACCCCTACTCCAGAGCCTTCTTGAAGTGCTTCAGGTGGCTTTAGTTAGCCAGATGAGAATCAGAAGGGGGGGGGGCTGAAAAGCTGAAAGTCCTGGGAATAGCCGGGTAGAGGGGGGTGGGATGGAGGGGGTAGGGTGGAGGATCAGGCTGCACTCTCCACACACAGCCTTCTCAGAGGGGCTTTTGTTTGTTTGTTTTTCAAGACAGGGTTTTTCTGTGTAGCTTTTGAGCCTGTCCTGGAACTTGCTCCATAGACCAGGCTGGCCTCGAACTCACAAAGATCCGCCTGCCTCTGGCTCCCGAGCATCGTCTGGCTTCCGAGGGGCTTTTAGAAACAGCGGCATAGCTGACCTTTACTGTTGCTATTCATTTTTGGTGTCTGTGTGTGTGTGTTGGGACAGAACAAGTCTAGGGGCAGTACTGGGGCTACACAGGACCCACTTGAATTTGAACTTCAAATTATTATTGAAAGGGAGGGAGAGGCAGGGAGAGAGAAGGAGGAGAGAGAATCACTGTTCAGAATGACTGTGGCTGGGTCTCCAGCTTGAATCTAGAACAGGTCTCTGGCGCCATCTATAGTTCATAAGAGGCAGTGCTCCTTTAGCCCGTGAGACCTGCCTACTAGGACATCATGCACATTCTGTTTGGAAGGAGAAGAAGGTGGGGCTTTTGCCTACGGGATGCAAGAATTCTCTAAGTTGAAGCTACGGGGGTAGGTAGGGACCAAACCGCTGTGAGATGCTGTTATTCTGAAGCCAGGACAGATGTTTGGCGATTGCTAACATGAGTTGCCGTTAACAACGTCCTTCTGCGAGGGAGGACCCTGGGGCTGGTTGCCTCTTTGCCAGTTGTGAACTAACACACGCGTGGTCTCCCTCTGTGTCTGCTCTGTAGATCCTCACCAGAGACTCTGTGACCACCCAAGTGGATGGAGTCGTCTATTACAGAATCTACAGCGCTGTGTCAGCAGTGGCCAATGTAAATGATGTTCACCAAGCCACATTTCTGCTGGCTCAGACCACTCTGAGAAATGTCTTAGGGACACAGACCTTGTCCCAGATCTTATCTGGTCGAGAAGAGATCGCCCACAGCATCCAGGTAAGGACACAGAGTACTGTGAACCTGCATCTTGAATTCCCTCATCTGGGTGGTCCATGACTACTAACATCAATACATCAGAATAGAGCCTCTCTGACTCAGAGATAGCTGACCTCTCGGGATGGGTTTCCTTATCTCTGGTAACGTATCATCAATCTCAAGGTACAGACTTAAAGATCTGCATGGGGGCTCAAGAGGCGGCTCAGTGATTAAGAGCACTTGGTTTGATTTTCAGCTCCCACATGGTGGCTCACAACCATCTATAATTACAGTTCCATGGGAGCCACACCCTCCCATCTCCATGGGTACCAGGCACGCACAGTGCATAGACATATATGTAGACACACACACACACACTCACTCACACACACACACACACATATATATACAATAATTTTAAAACATAAAATGTTTGCATGAAAGAAGGGAGCTTTGGGAATTGTTTCTCTTATTTTTTTCTCTCTACATTTGAAATTATGAACAAACACTGCACAGCTAACCTTGTAAAAAAGAAGTTACAAGTCATATTTATTTTTGGTTTAAACTACTCTAAAAGAAGTACAACCCTTACCAGGCAGCCGTTGGAGCCCTACATTTCAGTGGTGTAAAGCAAAAAAGTTCGTTTGAGACAGCGAAAGTGGGCAATACAGGGACAATTTAAACCTCATACTGTAACCAGTGTCAGTATCATCCATAATAATAACAACCATTGAGGGTGTAACAAATCTGGCCCCACCACTGCCATATTCTAGTTTATATATGGCATTTCTGTGTTTTCTTATGTCTATGACTTTGTGATTCTCAACCTCCTCTCTGTAAGTCAGAAGAAAATTCAACTCGAGTCCTTCAGCGAAGTCACTTCAATTCCCAACATCATTAATGAGTTTAGAAAAGACGGCCTCCCCAAACACACCAGATACACGGGCAGGTCACATGTCTTCTAAACAATGCATTTCCTTCTGGAAACAGACCTTGCTTGATGATGCCACTGAGCTATGGGGGATCCGCGTGGCCAGGGTGGAAATCAAAGACGTCCGGATTCCCGTGCAGCTGCAGAGGTCCATGGCGGCAGAGGCTGAGGCCACCCGGGAAGCCAGAGCCAGGGTGAGAAACACTGGGTCAGCATGGTGGTGGTCAGGATGCGGTGGGGAGAATAGCATCGCAGTTATTGACCCAAAAGAGGTTCTTTCCCGAGAAGTTCCCTAGAAGACAGTGGGCAGCTTCCCACCCCTTGAGGAGGCTTGGTAAGAGGTCACGACTGTGCTTGCTGCGTGTGGAGTGATCAGCAATGCAGGAGACAACACTGGTCACGTCACCTCTTCAGGAGAATGTGACTAAACAAAGCACCTCAGATCCCTTGAAGCAGAGTCAGGAGTCCCCCAGGAACCACCATCAGTTATAAAGCTGACGTTTCTGAAGTGACCAGTTTAGTGCTCATGCTTTAAGCACCGTTACTGGCGTATGATAAACGTTACTGGTTTTTAAAAGGTGACTGAATCCAAGCCAGGCTAGAATGAGAACATGTGAAACTCAGCCTGGCCTGACTCTCGGAGAATCTGCTGTCACCTTTGTTCTGTATGGATAGATTTACTGGTGTGAGAGACTGGAAATCTCCAGATGTGACTCTTAGGAAACCAAACTGTGGCTAAGGAAGGTTTTCTCTACTCTTAGTCATACTTGCTTTGTCTCCTGAGTACCAGGAGCTCCTAAGTAGGACTCCTTTGGCACACGGAAAGCAAGGGCCCACGGATGGGTCAGCTGAGCCCTGGCCAGGGTTTCTCTTGGGTAATCTCAGAATTTAGAAGAGCAGTCAATAGAGAGAGCCCCAGGGAGGGTTATTAGGCTGGAGTTCATTACTGCTAAGATCAAAAGCTGAGAGAATAGAGGCAATTCTGGCATTGTAAGAATGAGACTAATTGGGCAACAGAATAAAATGAGAGTCAGAGAGATGGGGGCTCAGGCAGTAAGAGCCCTTGTCATGCAAGCCTGACTTCCTGAGATGGGTCTCTATGATGTAGCGGAGCTGGCTACCGAACGCTGTTCTCAGCCTCCACACACGTTCTCAGGATAGAAGCTCAAGCTCTCATTTGCTTAAATGACACTGCTTTTATCTGCTTGAAAATAAACTTGAGGGCTAATAGTTTCTAAAATATTTAGCTCCAGTGTCCTAGTCTACGCCCCTGTTGCTGTGATAAACACCACACACAAAATTAACTTGAGGAGAAAAGGGTTTATTTCAGTCAGGGCGGGAACGATGCAGAGGCCACGGAGGAGTGCTGCTCACTGGCTTGCTCCTCATGGCTTATTCAGATTGCTTTCTTATAGAACCCAGGACCACCTGCCCAGCGATGGCCCCGCCCACAGTGGGCTGGGCCCTCCCATCTCAACCATTAATCAAGAAAATGCCCCACAGGAAATTTAATGGAGACAATCCCTCAACTATGGTTCCCTCTTCCCAGATGAATCTACTTTGAGTCAAGTAGGAAAAAAGAAAAAGAAAAAAACAACAAAAAAACCAAAACCAAACCCCAAACTGGAACAAAACAAAAACCACAACTAACCCGAATGTTCACTTTGTGCAACTTCTTGAATTTTTTCAAACCGTCTAGAATGTGAAAAGCTTGCCTTTGCTAAGAGAGTGAGCAGAGAAAACACAAGTGGCATAACGGGGACACAAACCCAGAAAGAGAAGCCTCAGACAGCATGCTGTCAACTTTTTTCCTCTCATTTTAGGTCCTTGCAGCCGAGGGAGAAATGAACGCTTCTAAGTCCCTGAAGTCGGCTTCCATGGTGCTGTCCGAGTCCCCCATTGCCCTCCAGCTGCGTTACCTACAGACCTTGACCACCGTGGCCACTGAGAAGAATTCTACCATCGTGTTTCCCCTGCCTATGAACATACTTGAGGGCATTGGCGGCATCAGCTATGACAATAAGAAGGCCCACGCTAAGGCTTGAGGTCTTCCAAGCGACTGCTCACCGCTTAGAAAGGCCTCTCTGTGCCTAGAGAAGTCAGCCATTAGAAAAGCGAGAGAGGCCACCATGCAGTTACAGTAACTCCTCCACAACCTGCAGAATCCCCAGGGGGAAGCATAGCACCTACACAAACACAAACCAAAACAAAACCGAGAGCCGTGCAGTACATTTGTTTTTAAGGCATAACCAATATTCTTCTGTAACTAGTAGTTGCCCCTGACAATCATCAGGGGCTTTTTCTCAGAAGGGCAGAGACTACGGGTGACTTTGATAAAATTCCAGGTTTAAGCTGTGTTGGAGAAGGACCCTAGGTCTTTTGTAAAGGAAAGCAGAGACTGCCACTTTGCTATGTATTTGATCTACTCTTCCAATAAAGCTACTTGCTGTAGTTCAAGTAGATATAAGGAACCCCCCAAGACTGAAAATTATGATCAATTTGAATGTAGAAAACAAAGTTCAGCTGCAATGTAGCAGCAACAGCACAGGCACAGGGCCAGGTACCAGCTGAGGCCTGGCTCTCTGGACCCCTGCATGTCCCGTTAAGGTATAGACCATTCTCAGCATCATACACATTAGCAGGAGCAGAGAAACAGCAAAGCAGAAACGGGGTGATTTTCCTACTAGTCAGAACACGGTAACCACTGGGGAGGTCGTTCTGTGAATTGCATGTTTTCACTCTGCAAGTCCCTGGAGCCATAGTGATTAAAAGCTGTTTGTAATCTCTTCCCAACTCAAACAACTGTTGCAAATAAAAAAGTCGTAGAAAGTGAAGTTTTAAAAATTGCTTTAGTGGAGTTTATCGCATTGCCAAGACATGATTTTCTTTGGGGATTAGTTTTGAGAAATGAGGTCTATTTTATCTTATTTTACTTACCTATTTATTTGTTTTTGGTTCTTACTATGTCACCCTGGTGAGCTTGGAACCTGCTACGTAGATCAGGCCTTTAATCCCAGCACTCTAGAGGCAGAACCAGGAGGATCTTCACACGTTTGAGGTCGGCCTGGTTCACATAGAAAGTTCCAGGCCAGCCAGAGCTACATTGTGAGATCCTGTTTTAAAACAAAACAACCTCCTGCAGATTCAGGGGACTTTTGTCTCTCATACCATTAAGGGTGGCCATTTCTTTGGTGCATCTTATAATTTATGCTTTTACTAAAGGCTGACTAAACGAAAGCCCTCTGAGGACAAATAAGTGCCCTTGATGACAGAAGAATCATGGAGTATAGCCTGCCAAGGGTGACACTCAAAACACACCCCAATCCCATCCACCCTGACCAGGGTAAGGTCCTTTTCCTGGAGGAGGGGAAGGGAAACCGGCAAATAACCTCTCTCCTGGTACATGTCCCAGGAGACACAGTGGTTGCATCAGCATTTAAGAGGGTCAAAGAACCCTTGCCAGGTGAGTCCAACCATCATCTGATACTTAGGTTCCTTAAGCAACCCCACACGGGCTCCCGGTTCTTGTGTCCTGGAAGAGTTGGGCAGAGATCCACAGATGCATTAAAGTGGGTCAGGATTATTGAGAAAATAGTCTTGGTGGTAGGGCATTTGCCTAGCACGTGTGGCCCTTAGATGCCAGTATGGTGTGAGTGGAGGGAGGGGAGGACCCCCGCCAAAACGAACCAAAATTAAAATGAGAGACTGTGTGTATTTCTCATTTGAGGGTGATGGCCATGAGCTAAACCGCCCGAGCTAGGGTTACAAGGTAAGAAATGGAGAAGTGCACACGATTCACAAAAAGCCAGTGTTGTGGGAAATCTGAGTTTCTCTGACTCTCAGTAGCAGCCTGTGTGATCAGACAGGAATGCCCTCTGTGGCTAAATGTGGAATTATTCTTTGTGAATTTGAATCGCAACTTTCCTGAGTGCACCCTGCTGGCGGCATCCGGGCTGAGCCGTACAGTCTCCCCAAGCCAGATGCCTACCAGGTGCTCACGGTTTGTAAGGGGCCGGTGAGAGGGTACAGCCACTAAGGCAGCTGTGTCTGCAGGAGTCAAGAAAAGCAGAAGCCAGACAAAGGTGTGCGAAAGTTTTGAGTCTGTAGTAGGTTCATTTCTCACGGCTATTTCCAAATACCCGAGGACGAGAACGTAAGGAAGAAAGAAGGGTTTAACTTGGCTGTTTAAAGACCAGAACCTGCAATCAGGGATCAGATAGATGAATGCCTATGGTAAGCCTGCCCGAGGTCAGGGCAGGTCTCAGGGTCTCAGTCAAACCTCTCTGGAAACGCCCTCATGGACATGCTCAGTGTTGTCTGCTCTAGGTGCTTCTTCTTCTTCTCTCTCTCTCTCTTTTTTTTTTTTTTTTTTTGGTTTTGACGAGACAGAGTTTCTCTGTATTGTTTTGGAGGCTGTCGGTCCAGCTCAGCCTCAAACTCACAGAGATCCTCCTGCCTCTGCCTCTGGAGTGCTGGGATTAAAGGCGTGCGCCACCACCGCCCGGCTGCCCTAGGTGCTTCTAAGTCCAGTTAAGTAGACGGTGATTAACCATCCCAAGGTCTAAGGCTGGGACTGGAGACATAGTTTGACCTCTTCTTTTTGCGCATGGCCCCTTAAAAGATTTCCCCTGGTAATGACCCTGGATACATCTCTGTCCTGCTCTGCTTCCCTGGGGTTTAACCCTCCTCTGTTTAATCACTCTCTGTTTGGCTGCTTTGCATCTTGTCAACATTTACATCATGGGTGGCACCTTATGCTGAAATACACTTTGGATTGTTGGGGGAGGTTGTCAAAGATTACCAGCAAGCTTTTGCTGGATGGAGCCCAGCTTGGTTGAAGGGAGGGGGAGCTGGCACACAGGCATCTCATCCTAATCCTCCTACCCACATCCCACTGGTTTCTTCCCTGGTCACACGTGTCTCGCCTTGGCTCGGGGTTTTCTTAAGCTTGGGGAGTCTTTGTAGTGCTCTCGAGTTCACAGCAGAGAGATTACATTTCCACTCTGTGTACTGGTGGCTCTGGGGTCCTGCCTCTCTCTGGTCTTCTTCTGTTTCCTTCTGGAAAGCCAGGCTTCCCTTCAGCGAAGACTGGTTGCTACTCTTTCTTTCTAGAAGCCTGATTAACTTGAGCATTTCTGTTATTGGCCACAGTCAGTCCACTGGCACACAGCCAGCCATTTTTGAGATGCTGAAGGTGCAGGGATTCCTCTTTTCCTACTCCCCCTTCTTTATCACGATCCCTCTTAGAATTGCACTATTTTATCTGAAATAGGATATGCTTGTAGGTATTATGTTATTATTATTAAATAGTGGTGGCTTCATGTTAAAAGTCTAAGCTAATCGACATAGAGGAAATCAGAGTCCCCTTTGAGGGTTCTTAGTCTTCTTAACAAAATACTTTAAAATGGAGTTAAAGGGGGGCTGGAGAGATGGTTCAGCGGTTAAGAGCACTGACTGTTCTTCTAGAGGTCCTGAGTTCAATTTCCAGCGACCACATGGTGGCTCACAACCACCTTGAATGAGATCTGGTGCCCTCTGCTGGCAAGCAGGCAGAAGACTGTATACACAATACATAAATAAATAAAATATTTTAAAAAATGGAATTAAAGGAAGCACAAGGACAATTTTATTAGAGTTTATAAGGAAAACCCCAGAGCAGGCCAACTGTAGACTTCAATTGTGGCCCAGAGGAGGAGGACAGAGAAGTGAAAAGGCCATGGTGTTTACGTGGCATGGGGCTTAGACACCAGTGGCAAGGCAGGGAGGGAGGGTTTAGTGTAGGGCAACTTGGAGTTGGCTCAAGACACCCCAAGGCTAAGTTCTCGCACAAAGGAGAACTATTTGCTCCAGAGGGACAGAGGGCAGAGAATAAGCAGAAGAAGGAGGGGGAAGAGACGGGAACAAGGAGAGAAGATGGGGGGGTATTTGACTGGAGCAGGGGTTCGAGAAAGGACTGTCTCCAGATAGAGAGGAGACAGACATGGCACATTGGAAAATGACAGTTTATAAAGGGGAAAGGGGGGAAACCGTGTGTTAGGATGAAGTGCTTAATGTTAATTTTAGGGGAGCCAAAGGGGGCTCTGACTGCTGGACTTCAATGCTTTGATAGCCGGACCTTGGTAATCAGTCTCAGGAGGAGGAAGTGGCCAAATAAGGGAATAGATCTTGGGGTCTGTCTAGCTTTAGGAATGCCATCTAATGTTTTTCAGCAGGCAGAGAGAATGGGAGAGAATGACAAGGCCTGCCAGAGCCATGCTTGCTAAGCTCAGACTGGTTAGAGTCCCTTCATTTAGAAAGTAAGGAAGCCAGAAATGTTGGGGGAAAGCTAAAAATAAGGAAAACATCCTTAGAAAAGAGAGGAAGGAAGGAAGGAAGGAAGGAAGGAAGATAGGAAGGAGGTTGCACTTGCCTAGTACTTAGTAAAGCGGGAAGACTATGACTCTTACTTGGCTGTGGCCCCTAAGTTTCTCACCAGGGGTGGGGATTCTGGGAAGGAGAGTAGTGTCCTGTTAAAAAATTAATCATTCCACTCATCTCTTTAGCAATGCCTAGGGTGAGCGACCTTCCTAGGGCTGATCCCTTAGCCAGGGGTAACCCTTCCCAACTGGGATGTCATGCCCAGGCTAGGGATTGATTCTATTTATCTAAGCTAACAGACTTATCGTTGGCTTATGTGAAGTCTGGTCATGGGTCGCCAGTCAACATTGGTAGTAAAGACCAGAAGGGTGGATTCCTCCTCATCAGTGAAGCTAGACTAGGTTTCCTAATCACAGCAGGGTCTAACCACCGTGCAACAGAACCACTAGTGAGTGCAAACTTGATTCACAGAGACCTACATTGCCAGGGAGGCCTTAGACTGATCTAGCTACAGCGGTGGACAAGCACTAGGACCTGTGAGTATATCCTGCTAAGAGACAGAATATGTTTACTACCCTTTTCAGAAAGATGGTGGAAACAATACACCCACCAGGGGGGCATGTGTGAGCTCAGATCTAGAACCAGAACGCTGTCCTACGCAGCCTGCAGGAGCTCTGCCACTTTAGCACAGACAAAAGCTACAGAAACACATCACAGTAGAATGGTCATTCGGACACACAGGAGAAGGTCTTTTATTTCTATTAAACAAGGTAAAACTGGTGTGGTTATAGGATAAATGACAGAGGGAGTTATTTAAGACAAGGATTTAAGAGGGAAGGGCTCCAAATTATTTGCATAATTTGGTTTCCAGGAATAAACTTTAATTTCCAGGAAACATGCAGTAATTTAGCAAATACACAAAACAACAAGACCCTGTCAGTTTCCGAAGCATTCCCGTGGGAAACAGGAGAGGCTGCAAAGCATTCCATGACACAGATGTATCTCTCAGTGGTGGATAAACACATGCTTGTTAATGCATTGGAAGGCACCTGGGAGGGGAGGAAGTCCTTAATACAATTATAAAACACAGTCCTTCCCCAGGATAAAGCTTTCTTTCATACATAAATGGGAAAAACCAAACAAAAACAAAAACAAAAAAACCTCGCCAGAAGCTCAAAGTCCCATCACAGGAAACGACTACTGTGCACTCTGTGTGGTCATGTGATCTACCTTACAGAACTTATGTTTTATTTTAATCCAAGACCAACTTTCTATAGTGTAAATCGTTTCTGTTATGTGCTCTTTATTTTTTGTTAGTTAAAAACTTAAATATTCTCTCCACCCCCTCTCTCTCTAAGGCACGATACTGACACTGTCGGGGGAGTGTCGAAGCCTTGGAAAAAAAATCCCTGTAGAACTCCACCTGGGTTGCTGAATCTCTCACGTAGCCAGAGAAGGCACTGTCTGGCTAATAGCA